TATTCATGATCTTTATTAAAATTGCAGTTATTTTTTAATCAAGCATAATAACTAGGTAATTATGATTTAATATGATTAATTAATCAATTACTTTATTAAATAATTAGGCTAAATATTATAATTAAATATAATTAAAACTTATATTTATAATTAATATCCTGATTAATTTCTAGTTAGCTAGCCTAGATAAATAAGTCAGTAGCCCTCTTGCCATATATATGAATCCATTATTAATTATAATTCTAATTTATACCATAGGTCACACTCAACAAAATATTATTACCTTACTAATCCTAATTAATTCATATTTAGCCTAGTTAATTAACTATTTAAGAGTACTATGATCACTTTATTTACTAATTAATTATCTTAAGTTTAACTATCACAACTAATTATTAATAAAATATTAAACTTGATTAGTTAGAATTAATTATTTCATATTTATTTGAATTGAATATTTAATTAGCTACTGTTTTTCTAATTAACCTATTAATTAACTATAGAAGAAAATATTATTGTGGTCAGAAATAAGAAAGTTAATGATCATAATTAAAGTTCTAATTAATCTATAGCTATTTATTCATTAGGGAATAATATTTTTAATTACTTATTTAATTTTTTAATTTAGTTAGCAATTATTAAATTTACTACTGATCTATAGTTATTTTTTAATTAATTATTAAAAAATAATAAATTTTGTGTTCATAATTAGATTTGTTTTAACTAAGGTTCGAATGATATTCCATACACAATTTAGCATCTAACAAATATAATAAAGTAAGTTGTTTTATAACATTTTTATATGAAAATTTCAAAAAAGAAAATCATATTTTTATTATTTAACTTAGTTGATATAACTTGCACTAATAATACATATGCATTACATAGGATTGCTCTTTCCCTAAACTTAAAGAAGATAATATATACTGCTAAGTAGGTGATGTACACTACTAATGCTAGTATTTTGGTTTTAAATACATAGCAAGGTAAGAGGGGAAGGCGACACGGCATTGAGGTGACATGTGAAAAATTGGAGCTTCTATTAACCATGAATAGGATCATCATCGTATTAGAAGTGAAAGTGACATTACAAGGATGGCCTTATTGATTTTTCCTGCAGAGTTGAATATGACATAACAAGGTGATGATATATTAGGAGGAACATGAAGATAGTTAATACTGTTAAAGATGGCTAGAATGACCCTCCTATTGGAGGTCAAGGTAACGTGACGTGGAAACAATAACCAAGGTGTTGTCCGAAGGTTTGTAGAGACCACTAATAGTTGTCAAGCCTAACCTCCCCTAAGGATGAGGGTAGTATGGCTTTGAGTTGACATATAATATATCTTTGGAACATCATTAGGAAATTGAGATTCTCAAGAATGGCTTTCCTTCTAGAGGTGGAGAAGATCAACATAAAGGTAGCAGACTATGAGACATATAAAGGTTATGGAGGTAGCTCTACGAAGTCAGGATAAATTTTCTTGTTGAAATAGAGATGATATAAGTTGAAGGCAAAAAGTGAGTCAATGTAGGAAAGTTAGGGGGTCAATATAGGTAGGAAGAAAGGTTCTTCTTCTAGATATGGAGATCGCACGAACATAAGGTGATGGTTGATGCAACATAGAAAGGCTTTTAATTTTATTAAGGATGTTTAGGTCAATACTACCATTGTAGGTGAAAAATAAATACCTTAAAGTGGTAGAAAGACAATAAAAGAAAGTCATAGAAGCTAGATAGAAGCCATTGAGGATAGTCAGATTGGTCTTTCTTCCCATAGAGGTGAAAGAGATATAACTTAAAGGAGATAAATATAACAATACAGAAAGGTCATGGATCCGCCAAAGATGGATGGATGGGTCGATCTTAAGAAAATGGTGGCAATAAATACAATAAACATAAGACATATATAATAGTTTAACTATGTAATATACTCTTACTATAGAGATTTGAGACTAAATATTCATTATAAGTAATATGTGTATATGTTATAACATCCCTATATATAGTTTCTTTAAGAGGTTAAATCCAAAGAGAGACTAAAGCTATATTGGAGCAATGCTCCTTCTATAATTGGACTTAGCTTCCTTAAGCTATTTTGATGTTGTAGGTGGGTAACTTACATGATTTAAAATTGTTAAAAATGTACAAAAGGTTCGAAGAGGCATATCAAGTGTCCAAAATGTCCATATTGAGTAGGGTATTTATATGAACTTAAAGCTTTTTAATGAGCTAAGTATCAATGAAATGCACTAAATAAAATATTGATAGCTTCAGACATGAATGAATGTTGATATTCATATGGTGGATGCATGATTGGCTCTCTAAATATGAGGTTTTGTTTATCTTAGTGTAAGTTGGCACCATCATTTGAATTGTGAAGGGTGCGTTGAAAAAATATATTTTGACATGCACCATAAGAAATTTTTGATATTTGATAATTGCGTAAGAGGAATAGGCCCACCCAATAAGTGGATCCTTTTCTTAAAATGCTTTGCGGTAGAAAAATATTATAGTATAAGTGAACATTATTTGTATGTTAAGGAGCAGGAGGTCGTCATCAAATTTGATGAAAATGATGATAATAAAGGTGATAAGGAATAAAACATGTAGTAAGAAATTGATGCTCCTCCCACCATCAATTATGTTCTAAACTCATATTTAGTGAGGATGCATTCCTTGATTGAGATGACAACAATGCTAAAAAAAATTTAATATAATTAACATGGATTGTAAGAGTACAAATCCCTGAGTTGTGAATTATTTTGATAAAAAATAAGCATGATATTGAGATATAGAATTTTAGCTCTTTGTATAAATCCATCGTCAATAGAGCATAAGAAGAAATTAGAACAACTCAAAGAGGAGATCCTCTTATTGGAGAAGAAGATCAAGGTGCAAATGAACTAGCTTAGGGTAATGGAGAAGGAGGCAAAAGGGCTTGATGAGAGAATGAATGAATGTTTCAACAATTTGTACAAGTTGAATAGTGATTAGCTATAAGAGGAATATCACTCCTTGGAAGAGAAGTTCTTGTTGAAAGATCTGAAGAGTTAATTTACTAGAGTAAAGTGTGGTTTGAGTACCAAGTGAGAGAGAATATAACTATACCTAGGCATTTATATCTAAATCCAGAGACGTTTAATGATAACATCAAGGGATCGATGCACTCAAGGCTATTTGGATGATACCATGCTCATGGTGGAGAGGCATTATTCATCCATGAGGCCCATTTCGATGCAAGAGATTTCAATGATAATGATGTTGAAAGATAAAAAATTAAAGAACAGAGGATAATCCCTCACTCAAGGCTATTTGAACAAGATATCACCATTTATTTTACCCTCGGAGGTAGTTGTGGTGGAGGAAAAGGGTTGATACCATTTCTTTAATTTTGTTTTCTTTTGACCTTTATGATGTTGATTCTAATTGTATATAGAAAAATATATCTCCAAGAGAGCAAATATTTCACCTCAAATGGCTTTGGAAAGGAAGGTCTTTAGAAATCATAAGAATTCCATAAAGTAAGACCAAAAAAAACGATATCCATATCTCATATTGATTGAATGACACGAACAAGCCTTAACATGCTAGGATTCAATTTATAAATGTCACTGAAATTATTACAATGAGATGATCATTTTTGTAAAAGAATTTGTACTATTTGGAGTGTATTTGAAGTAGAGATTTAGCTCCTTTCAAGTGATTTTTAATTTTTATATCATATAAAAAATTATTAAGATCCTAAATTAATCACTAATTGGTTTTCTTAACACTTAATTATTCTAATTAATCCTAATTAACATTCAATTAATCTAATTTGTAATCGAAACAATCACATCTAGCCATATTTTCAAAACATTTGAGACATTTTCATTATTTCAGAAACCAAATAAATTTTATTTTTAATTAAATACTCATTTTTGAAAATAAAAAAAATGAATATACGTGCAAATTTCTCATGATTTTATAAATATATAAACTAATTTATAAAATACCTAATATTTTGTGTGCCATTTCTCCTCATCTTCCAATGGGAGGATTATGGCTCGAATTTGAAAAAAAAAAAAAAAACCTGTAAGATGAAGAAAAATGAGGAGAACAATAAATTTAAGTAGCAGTAAAATTAAAATGTACTAAAATAGGAAGGTGGCAACGCTACATGAAGAAAAAAGAGGATGCGGCTGACTTATATGAGAACCAACCGTTTGTTGGAAAAAGGACCAACATATATGAATAATTTATTGTTGATATCACCATATAAAGAGGGTGATTGTTTAGCCTTGCAATTCATCAGCCTAGTTAGCTTATCACCTCATAGCGAGAAAGCATTGAGGTGATAAGTGTTCAAACTACTGGTGAAACAATCATCGGTAGCCATGATGGTCGGTTGCCGTGAGGTGTGGGTAACGCCGCACCTTATTGTTGTATTAGTAGTATGCATGGTAGGATTGATGGTTGAGGCTGATGAGAAACCAAATGAATTGCTACCACCGTTGTTTCTTACACCATACAAGTCCCCGCCTTCACCTTCATTGTTGCCTTTAAAACCACCTTATGGCAAGTCCCCGCTTCCACCTTCATTGTGGCCTCCTAATCCACTACAGAAGTCCCCACCCCCACCTTCATTATGGCCTCCTAATCCACTGCTGAAGTCCCCACCACCACCTCCACCTTCTCCATCACCCCCACCTCCACCTTCTCCATCACCCCCACCTCCATATCTATCGCCTCCTCCTTCCCCATCACCACCACCTCCACCTTCTCCATCATCTCCACCACCACCTCCACCTTCTCCATCACCCCCACCTCAAAATCCATCCCCTCCTCCTTCTCCATCACCTCCACCTCCACCTTCTACATCACCCCCACCTCGAAATCTATCCCCTCCTCCTTCTCCATCACCTCCACCTTCTCCATCACCCCCACCTCAAAATCTATCCCCTCCTCCTCCATCAACTCCACCTCCACCTTCTCCATCACCTCCACCTCCTTCTCCATCACCTTCACCTCCAAATCTATCATCTCCTCCACCTCCTTCCCCATCGCCTCTTCCTCCAACCCCTCCTCCTTCCCCATCTCCTCTTCCTCTAACCCCTCCTCCTTCCCCCCCCTCCTCCTTCCCCATCACCTGCTCCCTATAGTAATAGCCCAACACCTCCTCCTTCTCCTTCCCCATCACCTGATCCATACATTAACAACCCACCACCCCCTCCTTCTCCTTCCCCATCGCCTGCTCCCTACTTTTCCAACCCACCAACCCCTCCTCCTTCCCCATCACCTTCTCCATACATATACAACCCAACACCCCCTCCCTCTCCTTCCCCATCACCTGCTCCCTATAGTAATAGCCCAACACCTCCTCCTTCTCCTTCCCCATCACCTGATCCATACATTAACAACCCACCACCCCCTCTTTCTCCTTCCCCATCGCCTGCTCCCTACTTTTCCAACCCACCAACCCCTCCTCCTTCCCCATCACCTTCTCCATACATATACAACCCAACACCCCCTCCCTCTCCTTCCCCATCACCTACTCCCTATATAAACAACCCACCACCCCCTCCTTCCCCTTCCCCATCGCCTGATCCCTACATTAACAACCCATCACCCCCTCCTTCTCCCTCCCCATCGCCTGCTCCCTACTTTTCCAATCCACCACCTCCTCCTTCTCCTTCTCCATCACCTGCTCCATACATTTACAACCCACCACCCCCTCCTTCTCCTTCTCTAGCGCCTGCTCCATATATTAATAATCCACCACCCCCTACTTATCCTTCCCCATCACCTGCTCCCTACATATACAGCCCAACACCCCCTCCTTCTCCTTCCCCATCACCGGCTCCCTACATATACAACCCCCCACCTCCTCCCTATCCTTCTCCATCACCTACTCCCTCTATTCAAAGCCCACCTCCCCCTCCTCATTCCCCATTGCCTCCTCCTCCAAATGACCCACAAACTCCTCCAACCCCATCACCTCCTCCTCCTATTGTTAATAAATCTCCACCATCGCCATCTCCCTTAGCGCCTCCTCCATCTATTTATAAATCACCCCCTGCACCTTCACCTTCACCCTCACCCACTCCTCAAGTATACAACTCACCACCACCTCCCTTGCCATCATCACCACCTTTATATGCATATTGGCCCCCCACCATTATTTCACCAAATATTCTTCCTTAAGATTAATATTTCCCTCATTCCCCTTTCCCTCATCCTCCCTACATTTACAAACCCCCTCCCACTCCTTCACCACCAGCACCTCCTCCTTTTATTTACAAAGCTCCACCACCTTGATCCCTCTTACCATTACTTACATAAATTTAAAATTCTCCCTATCCACCTTATCTTTACCTAGCCATCTTCTTCTTATATATAGAAGTCCCCAACACAACCTTTACTATCATCACCATCTCCATATTTATATATGCTCCCACCCCATCTTCATCCATCACCTCATATTCATAATTATAAGTCCCCTTATCCTTCCACATTGCTCTTTTTTCCCTATATTTACAAACCATCACCCCATCATTCTTCCCCACCTCATCCTTATTTCTAAAAATCTTCACCACCTCCACATGTCAATAAATCACCTCTCTTTTATTTTCATCACACTCTCACCACCTCCTACTTTGGCATGCATTTCCTCTCCACCTCTTTCTATGTCATCTCTTGCTCCATACGTATAAAAGTCCTCATGACTTCCTTTACCACCTTCTCCATATATTTACATGTCTCCACCACCTCCCCCACCATCATCTCCTTCTCCATATGTTAGAATTACCACCCCCTCCATCCTTATCACCCTCTCCTTCTTATTTTATAAATCTCTACACACACACACACACACACACACACACACACACACCTTCGCCTTCATGTAATTTAAAATTATCCCTACCATTAAATCTCTACTTTTATAAGTAAACCCTTCAGCATCATCATCATTTTAACCCCTCCTCCCAACCTACCTACAAAACTACCCCTCCATATATTTAGAAATCTCCACCATACCCATCACCATCTCCTTGACCTCCTTATATCTATAAGTCCCCACCATGCCTTCACTTATCCCCAGAAACCCATTATATCTATTATTCATTGTTTCCTCCTTCACCTTCTCCAATCCATCAGTATTATTCATCACTACCATAATTGCCATATCTCTTACTCCATCAGCTCTATAATTCCTCATCTCCTCTACCAGCTTCACCTCTACCGCCTTAGGCATACAAGTGTCCACCACCACCATCATTACCACCTCCTTCAAAATATCACTATAAATTAACACCTCCATCTCCTTCATTATCACCACCATACCCCCATAAAGACCCCCCATCAATATCTCATACACCCTCGATGTAGTAATATAGGTTTACCTCACCTCTAGCTTATTATTACTATTGCATGTAATGAGTTGAAGGCTTCGTTACAACATAAAATCGACATAATATTAATGTGAGTATATCTATTCATTAATATTATACATAATTTATGTATGTTTTAAACTCTTATCCTTTTATTTCTCCTTTACAGAGCTATACAAGTATTTAAAAAGTTAATAAGGTGGCTTAGAAACTCCTCCTTTCAGCCTGCAGCATTGATGTTACATTTACATGAAGAACAAATCAAGCAAATAGTGAAAGATCGATAAAAAATGGAGTTTATAGAAGCCACACTATTTATAGAGTCATATTTCATTTAATAAAGCCTTGTTTTCCTTATTATGATCATCAACATGGAAATTGTATTTCTTTTCTCTTATGAAAAATAATTGCAGCATGTATTGATTGAGAAATACAAATAAATATTTGGTGCAGATCGATGTTTCCTATGATAATGATATTTTGTTTCTGAGATGTATTAGAAAAAAATAATATCATGAGCCCAATTTGCGAAAATGTATTTGAAAGTTTAACTCTTACTTAAAACAAAAAGAATATTTATAGAATCTAATCAATCTATTAGTCTTTTGTATAAAAGTAGAAAACAAATTCTTAGCATCACAAGAAAAAAATTCAAAACTATTACTATTTTAAAAATAAAATTTGTTTTATTGTAATTTTTACAAAAGTTTTTGATAGTTCAAATAAATATTTTGAACTTTTGATATCATGAATGTGAATTTCTCATCAAGAAATCATTCGGCGAAGTGTGAAAGAGAGGGGGTCTTTGAACGAAATTACAGAGCTACTTTTGAGATACTTTTTATTAGGAAGTAAGAAGATAGAGAGAAAGAAAGAAAAGATAACATGAAAATTGCACCAACTCATATAAAAAAGAAATTATAATGACTTTAAGTGATTCTATTTTGTACCATATACCTATTATAATGAGGGAAAAAAGGTTTCCATAATAATAAAAAAGAAATAAGGTTATTAATGTTTTTTTTTTTAATTTTAAAGGGGAGATATATTTTAAGAAAAAAGGAACATCACAATTGAGTATCATATTATATATATTCATGATTTCTACTTTGGGCACTAAAAAGTGATCTTTCAATTTGAGAAAGAACTAGATGAGGAGATCATTCTTCTTCAAAGGAAAATAAACTAGGATTATAAACTTTTATGAGAACTTCATATTTATAGTTTAAATAGTTTCTTTAAATATAACCCTCAGTGATTAATTATCTATTTCATGAGGGATAGAACTCTTAATTAAGGCTAGCAAAATAGTTATGGATCTTTAAGTATAGAAGATTCACAAGCTAATCAAGGGGCTCATTTCACATCCTTACTAATATAAAAGTTTTTTTTTTATTTGGTTTATAAAGCTTAAATTTTTTTTCTAAGCTTGACTGTAACCCCATGAGATTTAGGCTTCATTTGAAACAACTTTCTTACTGCTTTCTAAAGCAACTTTTTTGTACAAAAATTATCTATACTAAAAAAACTACTTTAGAAAACAGTTAGAAAGTTATCCTTAATGAAGCCTTAGAATTGAAACTCTATAATAGATAAAATTACTGTGGAACTTGCCAAATAAAAGTTTAGAATTTTGAAATTTCTTAAATTTTTTGCAAGTTAAGAGTCATTTTAATGATTTAAGAATTTTTAAAGGGAAAACTAATATTTATAAATGTGGAATTTTAATCGAAAACTTTCATGAGGGTCTGACTTCATGAGAGTAAGCTATTCATCAAATTTAATAATTTCTTTGAAGTTTTTAATAAGGTATGATGTATTTTGAAATTGGGAACTCATAACACAATATTAATTTACTTTATTTATAACTGAATATTTCTTAACCTTTAAGTGGAGTGGATGTATTTGAATGTGAGACTTGGAATCCCATGTTTTTAAGAAAAAGTAGAAAGCATAGATGAGATTTAGGCTTCGTTTGGAACGACTTTCTTCCTGCTTCTTAAAGCGGCTTTCTAGTACAAAAATTAAAAATTTTGTACTTGAAAGCCGCTTTAAGAAGCAGGAAGAAAGTTGTCCCAAACGAAGCCTTAATTATATAACTATAAATTGATATTTGACTAGAAAGCTTATTGACATAAAAATCAACATCTAATTATTGTCCATCTCTCTTTACTCTCCTTAGCCTCTTGAGCTCACAACTCAACTTGTATTTGAGTTTATTGTGACTGCATATCAACTATAGTTACCACATTCATTCTAATTCTTCTTAGAAATATTTATTCTAACTTCTCAATTCTGCTATCCATGAAGGCTATTGAGAAAGAGTACGTACCGAGCTTTATACACATAGGCTTATGAGCTTAACCCATATACCGCCCCTTTTGCATTCCTCCCACTACTTGGGACCAAAAAGTGTGTCAAAGTAGTATATTGATCCTGCAGATGATCATTCATTAGCAGAAGTTTATGTTTGCACATCGCAAAGTTACACATAGTTCTCCTAATATATATTTGAATACTTATGTATGTCCTTCTTAGTTTTTTATCAATCCATTATTGATCTTTTAGCACCGATGCGTGTGTGTATGAAACTCCAACGTAGTGGGTTCTCTTCGAAGTGCCTATTTTTGTAAAAGAAAATATTAAGCGAATGCACTAAATGAGAAACATATGAAAATATCAACATTGAACATATTATACCAAACATCATTTATGCTTATTGTGAAGAACTGAGCCGCCCATACGGACAGAGCTGTCCATGCTCCCATACCATTAGTGATGATAACACCAATAGAACCATAAGTATATAATTTGATTCAACAAGAAGTGAAAGAAGTATAACGCCCCTAGGTCTTTGTGGAGCTTATTGTGAAGAACTGAGCCGCCCATACGGACAGAGCTGTCCATGCTCCCATACCATTAGTGATGATAACACCAATAGAACCATGAGTATATAATTTGATTCAACAAGAAGTGAAAGAAGTATAACGCCCCTAGGTCTTATTTTAGAAGAAATAACTATTTATCTATTAATTAATCTACCAAAGCCACTATTTTTTTTTTCTTAATACAATCATCAGTGGAAGTAACCATAAACCATGTTCAAAAAAATAAACAACTAAATTCATTTATCAAAATTCATTTATAATATAGCTAGGAGATCAATCAGTATATCATATTATCTTTCTACTCCTAATTATAAAAATAACAAAATACGAGAAAACAAATAAAATATAAAAATTCAACATGCCCTACCCCTCCGCGCAGTTTTTCTGACCACTCTAATACCATAAAATTACAAGTCAACCCTTCCACCTTCACCATTTACTCCACCTCCAAATGGTTATAACTCGCCCCCATCACCTTTATATCCACCTCCTTATGTATACTGTATACATATCTCCTTCACCACATTCTCCTTATATTAACAAGTCCCCGTCAGCTCCACTACCATCACCACCTTCCCTACATGTATACATATCACCACCCCCTCCATCCTTATCACCTCCTCCTCCTTATATTTATAAATCTCCACCACCTTCATTTAGCTTACCTCTACTTAATTGCATATATTTATAAATCACCCCCTCCACATTCACCTTCACCACCATATCCTAATTTGTATAATTAACCCCCTCAACCATCACATCTCTCCCTCCATATATTTATAAATTACCACCACCCCCAACACCATCTCCTCCTCCTTATATTTATAACTCCTTATATATAAGTCACCTCCTCTTCCATATCTTCTCCTCCTTCATTCGATCATAATGAATTACCACCACAACATTTGCCATATTTTCCACCTCTATGTTTCTATAAGTCCCCACCTCCTCCTTCAAAATCACAACCCCCTCCTTATAATCCTCCTTCAAAATCACAACCCCTCACAAAATTTGATTATCTTGTAGATTTTACAAAATATTTTAAATGCACGTCTAGTAGTTTTGAACTTGAATGTACCGTTACGTGATCAATGGGTGATGTGTACCAAAGAGCAAGGATGTCAAAATGGGTTGACTGGTCGGGTTCAGATCTGACCCGAAATTAACTTGACCCGAATCTAGTCAACCGAACCCGACCCTTAAATCCATTTTGGTTAAAAAATTATAACTTATTAACTATAAAGTTTAGAATATTTGATAAAAAAAATAAGAAGATTATACCCACAAAAAATATGGAAATAGATATTAAACTAATCATTTTTGGGTCAATAATGGGCCCATCCCGTTCAATAAACTGGTCATAATACTCAACATAAATCTGATTTGTTTATTAAATGAGTAATTCCAAACCTATATTTTTTGGGTCGAATAATTTATTGACACCCCTATCAAAGAGGGAGCACTTGAAATGGAAGACAGGGTTATTACATCGACGTACTTCTTATTTGAAGGGGAAAGAGAGAAAAGAGAGCTAAATAAATTTTTAAAATTTCGCCAGCTCCTAAAGGAATAAGAGAAAGTAATGATTTTAAGTGTTTTGATTTTGTAGTATATATCTATTATACAGAAGAAGGGCTTTCTACAATATAAAAATAATAAGACTATTAATATCTCCCCAATTTTGAAGGGTGGTAAATTCAATAAATTTAAATTAAGGGTTATAAAATTTTAATGTTTCAACAAATTTTTCCTACTATGAATTCCTAAGGATGAAACATTTATAATCATAGGCCATACAATTAGGGTCCATAAGTGAATAGCCTCGATTTTAAAATTTTCACTGAAACATCACGATTTTAAATTTTTCATCAGGTCGGGTCGTCGGGTCGTCGAGCCGCCATATGTCGGCATTGTATTGGAGATTGATCTCAAAGCTAAGTACGGAGTCCGCAAATAATAATTTTCCTCTTTCTCTCACTTTTTTTTGGGAATGAGGGTATCTACTTGCTGCCACTCGAAATGAAGCGTTTGGCGGCGTAACTAAACCCTCGGCGGAACCTAACGAGGCCACCCACATCCATCGGTCCTATACTTGCTTTATCCCACTAAAGAGGTGAGGCCGTAGTAGAGGGGATTCAAACCTGTAATAGGGGGTTCCCAACCGTACTCGCCCACCAACCACCCTACGCCTCAGTGGATATTCTCTCTCACTTTCTCACACAAATTGCAAGAGTAGCCTAGCCGAAGTGGCTTAATTATATTCAAATATGGACGCAAACAAGGGAAAATGCAAATCCAAAGCAGGCATCAATGGTCATAGCAAATAATTATTCTGACGCAAGAAAATGAGGAAAGCTACTGCTTAACTAATCTATGCTGTCCTTATCAATAGAGAATTCCACACTAACAGCTATTAATTGTGATCGATGTCTACATATGCCTGTCTAATTGGGTGAAAAAGAAACCGTGCATGACTAATCTTGTATTGCCTAATTAAAATAATCACTAGAAAGAACTTCGGCTTCATTTGCAACAGTTTT